TCAACATTTCATTAGGAGAGGAGCAGACTACAAAATCATTCTGTAGATGGTGGAATAACCATTTTGGGCCATACAGACAGTTTTAGATATTGCCTTTAGTTTTTGATCAAAAGTTTTGTCATTTTTATCAACATTTCATTAGAAGAGGAGCAGACTACAAAATCATTCTGTAGATGGTGGAATAACCATTTTGGGCCATACAGACAGTTTTAGATATTGCCTTTAGTTTTTGATCAAAAGTTTTGTCATTTTTAGAGCAGACTATACAAAATCATTTTGTAGATTGTTCCAAAAGTTGACTTTGGTGCTAAAAGGGTTGCTTAATTTAATTTAATTTACAAGTTGAGCAACAAAATGAAAGCTTTGTTTTTTTTCTGTTTGACAAGAAAATGTATGACATCATTTTGATTTATCTGACAGGGTTATAGACGTAGCTGGTCAAAAAAGCCACCGCAAGAAATGGATTCATTTTTTTGATCGTGTTACTGCTATCATATTCTTTACATCTCTAAGTGGATTTAATGAGCTGGTTGACGATATTGAAGATAATTCAACGGTGAGCACGGTTATCATTAATTTACGGCTTTCACTTAATTTAGACTGGCACATTAAGCTTCCATGTTTATTTGCACACATCCTGTTCTTACAATCTGAGTACAGATATATCGATCTAAGTGCCAGTCACATACCGATGTACTAGAGGGCGCTAATAGTACGATATAATCCACAAAGTGTTGTTCACACATCGTATGTTGTATCGATATAAATCTATTATATAGCCTTAACCATTCCCAGTTAAGATCAATACAGTGATTCATGAATTGATCAATACCTCACATTTTTAGATCAATATTATATCAATTATGGTTGTATTTGAACTCTGCATATATCCTGACATTAATTCACACAAACATTGTGATTGAAGTTAGCTAATAGTTATTATGTGGCCTATATCATGAGTCGTGCAAGTATTGTGCTGCTAAAATTCATATAACTGCTATTCATCCTACTGAAAAATACTGTAGAATACTTTATTTTCGCTTGGAATTTATTTTCGCTATTTTCGCTGAAGGGATGATTCCGTGAAAATAAAATCCAGCGAATATACATTTTTTCCTATATTTTACATTAATCTCATCAAAAATCAGTGAAAATAAACTCCAAGCAGAACGCCCAAAATACCTTTTCAGCAAAAATTAATTCCAGCAAAAATAAAGTATTCCACAGTACTTTATTTTAGCTGGAATTAATTTTGTTTTGTATGAAGACGATGAGTTTGATGATGAGTTGCTTGTGAAATATGAGAAAAAAGGTCTTTTTCACAGGATTTTATTTTCATATTTTCAGTGAAAATGAATTCCAAGTGAAAATAAAGTACTTTTAAATTTAACAGTACCACTGTTGCACAAAATAATGCATTTAAACATCCATAAATTGCAAACCCATTTACATAACTATGTAATATATATAATTGTCCATAATATTTACTGCTATAAAAGTCAAGATCATGCGATAGTCTCTGTTTAGGCAAGTCCAAAATTTCACCTGTGTGTGTCTGTCCATCAATCCGTCTGTCCGCACCTGTGTCTCTGACATACTTGGACCGATTATGTTCAAACCTCACATGCACATCATATATGAACTTGTTCCACAATCCAAAAGCCATATGCATGACCTCCAAAAGGTCACACATCCTGGTACTTTCTGGAGGTAAAAGTTCACTATCAATTCAAATTTAATTATTATTATCTCACAAAAATGCAAGCAGTTATCATTGAAATTCAAAAACAGTTAAACATCATAAAAATGGATGTATATTATTGGAAATTCTTGCTGTGATGGAACAACAATACTCCCTGAAAGTACCAGGATGTGTGACCTTTAGGCCCATTCAAGATGGCAGCCATTATAATACTATTAAATCTAGGCACTCTGTAACAGGATTTCCGTTGTGGACAGATTTTGTTCCAACATAAACATATGAACATAATGAGACCTTAATGCACATTGTTTCAAGTTCTGATTCAATTAGCTGATTTGTTTCAGTTTTGTTTACTAATGCATTATTAAACATAATATTTTTGATTATACATGGTAATTTTTTTTTTATGCAGAATTGTTTGCAAGATAGTCTTAATCTTTTCAAGGATATAACGAGAAATGAATTCCTGAAAGATACAGATTTTATACTATTCCTCAACAAACATGATCTGTTTATTGAAAAACTGAAACATACCAAGATGAAAGACTTCCTCTGTGACTATGATGGTGAGTACTGAGTTTTCAGACATTATAATGTATAAATACAGTTTGTGAAACCAAAATACTATAAACACTAGGTTTATATAAAGGTGAATATAAACACAAGATAAATATGATGGTGAATATAAACACCAGGTTAATATGATGGTTTAATGATGCCCGCCTGTACAGTCTCTGCTGGTGGAAGGTTGCGACCAGGTACCCTGCGCATCATGTTGTGATTCACAGGCGAGTCGCATCATGGAGCTGTTCGCTGCGAAACTTGTGTGTGCAACTTGCTCCCCCTTCCATTTTTGCCAAAACCTTGTGTCTTGTGTCATTTATTGCAGAAGCATTTACACCAGGTAAATATCATGGTGAGTATAATATAAACATAAGGTGAATGTGATGAGGAGTATAACTCACCAGGTGAATATGATTGTGAGTATGAACACAAAGTGAATATGGTGGTGAATATAAACACCAGGTAAATATCATGGTGAATATAAACACAAAGTGAATATGATGGTGAATATAAACACAAGGTGAATATGATGGTGAATATAAACACAAGGTGAGTATGATGGTGAATATAAACACCAGGTGAATATAATGGTGAATATAAACACTAGATGAATATGATGGTGAATATAAACACCAGGTGAATATAATGGTGAGTATAAACACTAGATGAATATGATGGTGAATATAAAGACCAGGTGAATATAATGGTGAGTATAAACACTAGATGAATATGATGGTGAATATAAAGACCAGGTATTAAAATATGATGGTGATTATAAAGATCAGGTGAATATGATGGTGAGTATAAACACAGGGTGAATATGATGGTGAGTATGGACAAAAGGTGAATATGTTGGTGAGTATAAACACCAGGTGAATATCATGGTGAGTATAATATAAATACAATGTACCAGGGAATATGATGAGAAGTATAATCACCAGGTGAATTTAAAGCAAACCAACATGTGCACTCGTCACATACTCGATGATGCCCATATATTAATAGACATTGACAATCTAATCAGCTTTATAGAGTGCATTTCGGTCATCACTTTTCTGCTTTTTATCTTTTAATATTAAGTTTAGCCTTAGGTATAAAGTCGTCAGTGTGACAAGTAATGTGATTGCAGTGTAACATGTAAAACAAACTTGAATATCTGAATGAACAATAATTTGTCATGTGTTATCCTTACCCCTCTTCACATATACTGTGTGATAGTTAAATCGTGTTGATTAATAATTTTTTTTTGCATTAACATCTTGGTGCAACATTTTGCAATTTTGTGTGTGTTTTTCTATGATTTCTTTGTTAAGTCTAGACGAAGGGAAAAGAGTATACAAAAGTCATGTTTAGTTTGTGATAACATAACATAAAGGTGATAACAGTTGATAATGGCATTCAAAAGGTACTATATGCAAATTAACTAATTATTATGCACAGACGGTACATAGAATAATTAAACAATTAAAGTTTCTTTATTTATTCATATTCTGATGATTGGAATGACAAACAAAAATAATTTATTGACAAATGTAATCAAATGTTGTTAAATTCTAATTGTGGCCATTGTTTTGTTACACCAAAATCAATTAAAAGATTATAAGACAGATATGATACTATTATTTTGGTTTAAATTATTATTCATTTATCATACTAGTACAATATCGTTGATTTTTGGTGCAATATTTTACCAATTTTTTGAATATTTTTGTTCATAATTTTTTATAATTTTGAACCAAATGGACATAATCTTTATTGGCTACAATTGATCAAAAGTTTGGAAAAAATATGAAAAATTATCTAGGGATATGTGAATTTTGTTTTGTGCCACTCAAATGGTTAATACTGCCACGCGGCTGTTACAATACTACTTTTGGTATATAGTGTGATTCAAAAATGACTAATATTTACATAATTATTTATGATATTGCTTGATTTGACATAAACTAATATCTGTTTTTCGATCACAACAAATTACTGGTGAACAACAGCGGAGTTACGCAATCAGGATTAGAACTGTCTTCATCATCTGTGCACGTTGTCATTATTTGAACTGCTTTGCACTGTGGATCAGTGATTCATCAGTTCTATTTTCGATAAGATCTTGTAATCATGACAAACACTATTTCACCCTCTAACCTATTACGTTCAATCTTCAGGTGACAATGATGCAGAGTCTGCAACCGATTTTCTGCAAGAGGAATTTATGAGCTGCAAACCTGATGACAAAACGGTCTACCCACATGTTACTTGTGCTACAGATACCATTATGATGAAAACGGTGATTATTGATGTCATGGATATTATTATACTTATAAACATGAGAAAAATCCGAACATTGTGAATGCAATACGCCATGGCAACAGAAAGTAGTTACAAGCAATGGTAATGACCATGGAAAAGCTAACATCTCTTCAGATTACAACTGTAGAGGGCAGTATAATATGTGACGAGTGTTGAATCTGCAATATGCCAGATTTAGTTAACTGAACCATTTTTTCAGCAAAAAATATCAACAGTATTGATTTAACTATTAACTGCTTATTTTAAGACACTTTATAATTACACACTTTTGTTTGTTTTATTATGTAAGCATTAAGATACATTTCTGTTCTTCCTAGAATATTAAATAGTAAATGTACTCTTTTGAGGTCACATGACTAATGTGGATTTAGTTATATTACTTTCTAACTGTGTGCTCAGTAAAAGTCATACCATATGATTATGTCATTATTTCAAATTAACTCTAAATACACTGCCACATTGTCATGTGTATTTTTTGTTACACAACAATATATACCTGTAGTCAAATTATTAAAGATACAATATGGACAAAGACGAGTAATTTTTAATGCTTTTGTGCAATACTTAACAATGTAGACCAAATCTGATGATTTACTGTAAAATGACTAATTTTCACTGGGTTTAAATTTCACTGATTTACCATTTCAGGCATATTCAGTGGGTTTTAAATTCACGGTTTCGTCATTTAGATAATGTGTTCTATGCTAAATTTTACATATTCACTGTGTTTTAATTTAGTGCATTTTTCCAGTCAGCGAAATAAGCTAAATTAAAACCCAGTCAATAATTACCCCCTTTACAGTACCATAACACTTTCCTATAAGTATGGCACACAATAGTATTTATTAGATGAAACATAAAAACTAATACCACACATGTGTAAGGTTATTGTACATGCCAAAACTATTTTATTGTTTCACTGAACGAATACTAATTTCCATGTCATTTTAAAAGCATAGCCCAATGTATTCAATAATATCAGACAAAATTACTAAAAATTGCATGTTCTTACCCATAATACATCTTTAACATTTTCACCACCAGATTTCTCCCTCAAATTTCCCCGAACTTTTTTCTAATATACTTCAGTATTTCTGGAAATGAACCCTAATTTAAGAGTCAACAGATGAAATTTAAGTCAATTTTCAGTTTTTAATTTGCAATATTTGTTCTAATCTTCTGAAGGGAAATGCAGAGTATAAACAGGACTATTTTGTGAGTTTGTGATGAAAAGAGGAAACTGGTGGTGAAAAGAAAGATGAAGTGATGTACCCGGTACATAAAAAAAAAGAGTACAGAGCACATGGTCCACAGACGACACTTAATTCCACGCATGTATAATATACTAGTTGCTGATCCAGTTAATGTTATTTGTCATTGCATAAGAGATGCAGATTCCGCAAACTAATCATTCTATAAGAAAGTTAGTATAATTTGGAGGTAATGTTAGAGGTCGGTGATTGGGATTAAGGGGTGGTGTTTTTTAAGATTTTGTTAAAATCCAGTAAAACAACAATGTAACGCTCTGCACTTGTTATTTAAACTTGCATAAGCATACTGGTCTGAATTTATTAAAATTTGTCAGATAGCCATTTGTTTTTTCATCAAAGTTAAGTTTTCGATTCACATTGAAGAGTTTAAGTTTCATTGTAAGGATCTCCACAAAGAAAACGTTCATAGCAATATAACTAGATTTTGTTTAGCTAAATCATGTATAATCATTCAACTTCTCTTCCAATGTTCTTCCATATTTTAGATATAATCATAATTTGAAAATTCATGTCACTAGGAATTTCAATTGGTTGAAAATTGCAGAATAAAAATGGAATGTGTACCCGATAGAAAATATTTATTTCAAACATGTTTTAATTGTTGTAATTTTAAAAAGTAATTAAATAATTTAAATAAAATATTGTTTTACCGGTATTAAAGTTGTATTCCCAATTTGTATGATCTACAGAAAACCTTTTACTGACCCCTGACACATCATGGGTATTTGGGATTATGTATGGTTCATGACAAATATTATGTAACAGAATCCTAAAATCAACTTTAGAATAGTCTACAGAAAATTGATCTTCCGTGATTGCATAAATGTTAATTCTGTTGGATTTGGGGACCTTCAGTGCTGGCTAGATTCTGTGCACCCAATATTTCTGGATTTATTGCAAAACTAACTCACTTTGTTGCGATCACAATAATACGAGTGAATGCAACTTTAAAGGACCGTTGATTATTAAAATTTGCACACATAAAATGTAAGTCATTTATAGCTAGTGCTGATCAATCCCCCCCCCCCCTGCAAAACATTTTTTTTAAAGCAAATTTTCAAAAACTACATGTTTAAACCCCTATTGTTATTTGCATAATATAATTACCGTTCTGTGACAATGTTTCCAATTGTAACACAGTATGAGTAATGTATAGTCAGATATCTAAAAATTTATTTGAGTTACAATTTCTACAATTTTATATATACATCCATAATTTTTATTCCATTGTTGGTATGCGCTACGAGGTTAACTTATCACTCCTCTCCTAAATCAAATACCTTACATTTTAAGTGTGTCAGTTTTTATATCAGATGGAGGCTTTATAGTGGGTAGGTAACCTTTTGAGTGCTGTTGTCAACATTTGGCACAATCTAAAAAAATAATTGTGTAGTCTTCTCCCTCTGACATGAATTGACAAATCTTTTGATCAAATAGTACAGCAATATTTGAAACTGTCTGTGTGGACCAAAATTATGATGAAATTCAGTGAAAATTTTACAGAATCAGAAAATATTTGTACTGAATTTTGAGCGGGAAAAATATCTGGCACTAAACGGTTATGTGAACTTTATTTCTATACAGACATGTTAAAATAATTGAACAGACAAACTAGATTCAAATTATTGGATCACATGACC